GAGTGGAAGAGCTTCATCACTGCCCTAAACACCAGAGATGTAATGGGTACTAACTAACCTTGATTAACCCATCTTCACACAGGAGAAAACCTACAGATGATGGGATAGCTCAGGATAGCACCAATATTTTAACACTTTATGTTGTATGTAGTTGGGCATTTGTAGTTGAATCTGCACTTCACGTGGTCTTGTTCTTCAGGCTACAAGAATCCATGAGAATGGACATAGCAGATGTGATCAAGATGGCAGCAGGCACCTTAGAAATACCTTAGATAAATACACGATACTGATGCTCAACTTGTACATAGACAAGGTTTAAGGGCCATATTTTAAAGGTATCTAGGTGCCTACACATGTTGATTGGCACCTAGTAGCATTTTTAAAATCATGACGGTGCCTAATTCAATGGATGTTAGATACCTAAGCACTTTTGCAAATCTAACTAGGCATCTGTCTGCATTTTGAGGTATCTAAATACCTTTAAGATCTGATCCTAAGTGTTTTCAGAATCAGGCCCTTGGCAATTCTCTTTCCATTCCTGCTATCGCCTTCTTCGTTGTAGTTGTCTCTAAATAACCTATGAGTTCTCTTTCTACAATCAACCTCACCTAATCAGCAATACTGCAATTTACTACCATGTGACAAAGCCCCCATCATTCCTGACTATTCTTTGAATTAATTTTAGCACATCAAACATCTCTTCTAAACTTTAACTAAGAACTGTTCCCTTCAGTCCATCTGTGCTTAATGGAACTCTTTCAGGAAGGTGTTAAATGCTCTTTGACTAAACAGAGGAACATACACTGTAAAAAAAATTAATAGTTCAGTTTATCCGGAAAATAATGGGGAAGGAAAATATTTCATAGAATGTCTAGTGTTGTTAATTCTTGCTATTTTATCATGAGTCTCATAATATCTGGTGATTTTCTTAAAGGCCCCGCTTCTGGAATCATGTGATTTCATGAGAATTTCAGTTTTCATTTAAAAGAAAAACTAAGTTTCTAACTCTCATGCTCGTGGAGAAAATCTTCAAAACGTGACCTAAGTGTGCCCTGATGGCTCAAAAACTAAGAGGCAAATAAAAAGAACCGGAAATTTGATTCAAAATGTTATTTGTTTAAAATCTGATAATTTTTCTGCCAATCTCATAAGTTTTGGGGGCCTGACTCATGATCTTAGAACAATTGGGATGGTTAGCACAGGCATTTTAATGAAACGTTGACATGGTACCAAGAAAAGGAAATTGCAATTTTTATATATTTCTTTAACTTCCAACAGGAGGAGTCCTTTTAATCAAGACTAATATGTACTTTGAGAAATCAACTAAAGAATTAACACCACTTGCAACTGTGTCCGCTCTGACCAAAGGAGAATGTGCTTATATATGGGCAAAGTCTATGCAAGCAGAGATTCCTCCAAAGAAAGCATCATAGATCATGTTGGTATGAGAAGGAGAAAGAAGAAAATGCTGCTTCTGTCAAATATTACTTTATTGTTAGTTTATTTATTATGAAAGCTAAGATTTCTTCTTGGTTTCCAAATCTTTTCACAGATTTCATGTTAGTTATTTGAATGCTTTCATTTTCTTTTTCTCTGTTGTAGTCTATTTGATATTAAAAGTTTTCTCTTTTTTGTAAAATCAAAAATGGACTGCTCAAATTATTTTACTATGGGAAAGGGTAGTGTCTGACATGTTAAAGAGAGCATGACCTTGTGCTCTGGCCAGAGGCAGGT